AGCAGGAATTTGCAGATCACATTAATCACTATCACCAGTGCTGTGAGCTACTCAACACCCCCCAAGCAAACATCTGAGGTTGGCTAATTTTGCCTCATATTTTATAGGCAACATTTCAGAAGTACTTTTTGATTTAGGGAAAAAAAAAAAAAAGGACAAAAAATATCCTATTGATGTAATATTTCATATCTCTGAATCATTAGTCAATTTCTACACGTCTTTAAGGGAGGAAAAACAAGAAGGCATTTTAGAAAACACTATAAATTACATGGAAAAAAAATTGCAAATCTTCCTTCCATATTGTTGTGGGCTTACATTGCAATCTCTGCTGAAGTTAGAAATAAGTAGTGTACCTTACTGAAAAAAGAATTCCCAGCACTTCCATTAGATTGAACATTTATGCCTACCCCAAATGGTTCATAAAATATTTTAGATTACACATACTCTTCATATAGAAGCTAGTTCTGACTTACTGTGCCTCAAACTGGGTATTTGTCACAACCAGGGTTATGGCACCATTGAGTCAGAAGAGCTCTAAAATAGGGTAAGAAACGAAGGTAGGTCCAATCTTGTAGTCAAGGTGTGGCATAGTCTATATATTTGCTCCAAGTTGAGTAGAACACAATGGCAGTAAAGGATTCAAGGATACTTTGAGCTCCAAAATGTCTCCCTACAGCTTTGCAGGCAAGTATAAACCAGAGGATTTATTTCAGTTAGGTTCTTAGTTCTCCATGCCACAGTAAGTACTTCTGTCAACAAGCCAAGCACAATACTATTGACAGTCTCTTGATCTGTGAGGATATTTTTTCATAGTGCCCAGACAACCAGAAGAGATTGGAATTTTTCAGGTTTTGCCAGTCCCAGTTTGAAAACAGACTGTCTTGAGCTAAAAGTCACTATTTTTTATACCCTACAGAGAAAGAAGTGAGGTCACCAAAACAAAGATCTCCCATTATTTCTGATTATTTTAAAGCAGGGTCTTGTTCAGTCATTCAGGCAAGAAGGGGAAAGAAGAACCTGCAAAAGGGCAAAGAACAGATCACAAGAGGGAAAAGGCATTCAAGAGGAGCAGTCAACTGGAGAGAGAGGATATGCAGAGGCTGGAGGATACGGACACAGAGGGAAATGATGCAGAGTAATGTTAGAAGGAATGTGTGGAATGAGAAACTGTACAGGAGTAAACAGAAAAATAAGGAACACGAATGGGAACTAAGGGAAGAAACGGTGTCCAGCATACCAGCAGGAAGGCAGAGAAATAGGTCATGTGCAGTGGAAGGCTAGAAGCTAAAGAATGAGAGTGGAGGAAAGAACAAGCCAGCAAGTACCCAAGTAAATTTAAGCTTCTTAA